GAGGCAATCAGAGTTAAGTGACTTGCCCGGGGTCATACAGCTAGGAAGTGTCAAGTGTCTGAGGCCGGATTTGAACTCCTCACTCCAAGGCCGGAGCTCTGTCCGCTGCACCACCTAGCTGCCCCTCAGGTTCTTTTCTAGTCTGACCTAGATCCATGGAACTAATACCTCTGCATAAGGCTGTTGTGAATATCAGAGGAAAGAAAGATTTAAATACCAAATACTGTGCTTTGTAAATATCAGCTGTTAGTATTATGTCAGTCCCATTCGCATCTTTCGTGGAGTTTGGCTAGAGACAGTCCTGGATCCTGGGATGAGCCACTCTGGAATGTGGTTTCTGCTTACTAGAGAAGTTTTCTCTGTCTGGGTGGGGCCTGGAGAGCCTGGCTGGGTGACCCTGGGTAAGTCACTTAACAGCTCTCTGCCTCAGTTTCCTCAACTGTAAAAGGGGACTAACACGGGCTGATTCTTGAATAAGACCCACCATCTCCAGGCTCCAGGCGTTCTGTCTGCCCATCGCCGGAATGTCCTCCCTCCTACATTCTGACTGCGGACCTCCTCAGCTTCCTTTCAGTCCCAACTAAAATCCTCCTTCTCTAAGAAGCCTTTCCGATCTCCTCAGGTCCCGGAGCTCTCCCTACCCTGCCCCAAATTACCTTTTTACAGTCCCAGAGAAGGAGGCTCAGATGAGATGGCATGTGACCTGTGTTCTGCAAACCTAGAAGTACTGGGTAAATGCTGGGGGTTATTATTTAGTGCTTGGCGGGCCATTGTACACGTACATGTAAATAACTGCAGCCTGTAACTGAGTAAGAGGCTCACGAAGAGCATTGAGCCCCGTGAAGAGCCTCGAGCCCAGCTGAACAGAGAAGGAAAGAGATTGGACCGTGTGTGTGTGTGTGTGTGTGTGTGTGTGTGTGTGTGTGTGTGTGTGTATGGCTTGGATTTCTTCAACACAGAAACAGTTCGGAAGCTGATGTTGTATTATCAGCCAGTTGTTAATATTTTTTATTAACCGCCTCCTATGTGCCAGACACTGTGCTGAGCGCTGGGGGAACAGAAAAAGACAAAAGACGGCCCCTGCCCTCAGGGAGCTCATTGTTGAATGGAGAAGCCAGCTGGCTGACAAATATGTACAAACTACAGGATAAACAAGAATTGATTAGGAGAAGGTTTAGAGGGTTTGGGAAATTCTTCTTGTATAAGATGGAATTGTAGTTGGGCCTTGAAAGGAGCCAGGAGGTGAGCTGAAGAGGGAGAGCTTTCCAGGCACGGGGAGTGGCCAGAGCCCAGAGAGGGAGTGGTTTGTTCCCTTGTAACAGCCAGGGGGCCTGGGTCACTGGATCAGGGTACCTGGAGGGGAGTAAGGAGCCAGAAGGTTGGAAAGAGAAGAGGGGGCCAGTTGGGGGTCCCAGATTGGAGGTCATCAGAAATTGGGGCAGGATAGGCAGATTTGAGGATATTGGCGTAGACGGGGAGGGTAATTAAATCCATGGGCGCTGATGAGATCACCAGGTGGGAGAAGAGGGCCCAGGACCAAACCCTGAGGGACAGGCATGGTTAAAGGGCATGATCTGAAAGAGGATCTGACAAAGGAGATGGAGAAGGAGCGGTCAGAGAGGTAGGAGGAGAACCAGGAGAGAAGGGTGTCCCCAAAATCTAGAGAGAATCTGAGAGGAGAGAGCACAGGAGTGTCAGAGGCTTCAGAGAGGTCAAGGAGGATGAGAGTTCAGAAAAGGCAATTGGATTTGGCAAATCAGATCATTCATAACTCTGGGGAGAGCGGTTTCAGTAGAATGATTAGGTCGGAAGTGGGATTGTGAGGGGCTAAGATGAGAGTGGAGGAGAGAAAGTGGAATTTGACCACAAAGGGGAGAGTGATGGAGTGGTAAAGAAGATGGAGGGGACATGGGGAAGTTAGGGAAGGAGCCAGTAGAGAGGGAGAGATTAGTGGAGATGATTAAAGGGGCAGGATGATGTAGGAGATGGGATGGAATGGGATTGCTTGAACAGGTAGAGGGATTTGCCTTGGTGAGAAGAAGGATAACCTCTGTGTGTGAGGCTGGGTGAAAGAGAAGAGAGGGGGCAGCTAGGTGGTGCAGTGGATAGAGCACTGGCCCTGGAGGCCTTGAGTTCAAATCTGGCCTTAGATGCTTGACACTTACCAGCTGTGTGACCTTGGGCAAGTCACTTACCCCTGTTGCCTAGCCAAAAAAGAGAGAGAGAGAGGAGAGAGGCCAAAGGAGGTGAAGAACAGTGGGGAAGAGGGAGCTCTTGACAAATGGCCTCCATTTTTTCTGTAAAAGATGAGGCAGGGTTCTGCACTGAGAGGGTGGAAAGCCATGGGAGGTTTGAAGAGATATGACAAGATTTAGAAGAGTAGCATGAGTTGATAACGGAGGTAGAGTAGGATTGCCTTGCAGCAGTGAGAGCCCAGTTGAAGTTATGTAACAAATTTTGTAGTAGACCCAGGCAGAATGGCTGCGAGATTGTCTCCACCTTTATTCAGCAGCACTTTTTTAAGGTGGCAGTGATCCAAGGCTGTTTTGGCTGGATGCGATGGCAATAAGATAAAGGGGCTGGAGACTTAAGAGGCCAGGGTAGAGTTGAGCTCATTTGGCAAGGGTGAAGATGGGAGGAAGGAGGAGGGTGTGATTATTGCAGGGGTGAAGATCTGTCAGAGAACTGAGGAGTCTAGGGGATTGGAGGTCACAGTGTGGATCAAAAGGGCAGGGTCTGGTATTGGAAGGCCAAGGCAGAGGTGGAATGGTAATAGATAATGACCAGATTGCAGTCAGGGCAATTGATATGATAAGGGGGTTAGGGATCCTAGAGAGGCCAGTGTAGAACTGAATCGATTCACCATCGGGACAAAATGGGGAGAAGGGGAAGGAGTAGTTAGTGCAGGAGACGTGGCCTGGAAGAGAACTGAAGGGCCAGTGGTGCCGATGAAGAGCAAGGTTGTGCAAGGGAGGGCAGAGGGAGAGGTGGAAAGCCTAGAGACCATGGTCAGAGAAGAGGATTTCAGAATTCCTGAACAGGGTGATCTAGAGTGTGACCATCTTTGTGTGTGTTGAGGAGAAAGTGATGGGAAGTGAACACATTGAGAAACTGGGTGGCTGGTGGGCTCGAGGGAGAGTCACTTTGTATTTTGAAGTCCACTTGTATAGGGGCAAGAGTTGGGGGGGGAGAAAGATTGTGAGCTGAGTAACAAATCCATTGAGGAAGGAAGGGGAGCTACCGGGGTCCACAGACTACCGCCAACGGGGTTTTGATTGGGTGGGAGATAGGCAACGTGGGAACCCCCAAGGAGGAGAGGTTACTGAGTGGGGGGGTAGCGGGAGAACCCTGGTTGTAGCGGTCTTTCAGCTCCCCGTCTTGACCCGGGAGCCAGGGGGAAACGAGTGAAGGGGCAGCCGCCATTGGAAAGGGTGGCCAGGGAGACGCCATCAGAGGGGATCCAGATGTCAATGCAGGGAGCTGGCCTCAGAGCCTAGAAGATCTGGGCTCGAGTCTCACCTCTGACATATTAGTTGTATGACCTTGGACAAGTCATTTAGGACTCTCAATGTCCCAGGCGACTCCCTAAACTATTAGGTAATAATAATAATGCCTAGCATTTCTATAGTGCTTTAAGATTTGCAAAGTACTTTACAAATGTTATTTTAGTGGCAGCTAGGGGGTGTAGTGGATAGAGCTCCCGCCCTGGATTCAGGAGGACCTGAGTTCAAATGCGGCCTCAGACACATAACACTTACTAGCTGTGTGACCCTGGGCAAGTCACTTAACCCCATTGCCTAGACGCACATGTTATTTTATCCTCACAGCAGCTCTGACAGGTAAGTGCTATTATTATGTCCTCTTTACTGAAGAGGAAACTGAGGCGGGCAGGAGTTAAGTGACTTATCCAAGGTCACGCAGCTATTAAGTGTCAGGTAGGATTTGAACTCAGGACTCTTGACTTCAGGTCCATCTATCCACTGTACTACCTAACCTCCTAGGAAGAGAGGAAAGAAGGCAGGAAAAAAGAAGGAATCAGGATAGAAAGGGAAGAAGGATGGATGGATGGATGGATGGATGGATGGATGGATGGATGGATGGATGGATGGGTGGGTGGATGGATGGATGGATGGATTAAGCGATGACTGTATATCAGGCACTGTACTAAACACGGGCAGGGGCTGATCTTTCTTGCTGAAGGGTGAAGTCATGGGTCTGGTCTCTGCTGTTTCATTGCATGGAGTGATGGGGCTGAGTATCCTGGATGACCACACCTCTCAAGAACGCCGTTCCTCAGTGGGTCGGTGTTGTGTTTGGAAGGGGGTGGGGGGCTGTTTTCCCCACTTCCGTGCTAGTACAGTGGATTTGTTCCCTTTTCGAGGACATCATGTGGTTTGTGTTCATGGTCCAGAGCCTTGCGGTCTGCTGGTTTCTGAAGAATTGTGGGCTTCTGGCTATCATAACAGTTCTCCTGCTCACTCCTTTCCTCCAGTCATGGAGAGAGTGCTCCCCTCCTCCTCTCCAGGCCCGCCCCCTCCCCTGCACACTTACCCCGGTGCGTTCCTCGTTCCCCTCCAGCAGGTTGAGAATGTGGAGAATCTGCATTCCTGTCCCTCACCACTCGGCCCAAGTCTGAACTTGCACTAGACAGACGTGGAGCGAGTGGCTTTCTCTCAGTGAAAGGTCCCCTGCAGAGGCAGCAGCCGGTTCATTGCCAGACCCCTCTGTACACACACAGTCTCTCTCTCCTTGGAGGGGAAAGGAGGGGATTGATTTTTAACTTTGAAGTGGGAGGTGGGGAGGAAGGGGAGGGACTCGGAGGAAAGTCTCCAGTGAAACACAGTCCAGTGGAGAACACTGAAACCCCTCCAGAGAAATTCTGGAAAGGAGATGAACAGACAAAATAAATCCTGTATCCCTGTCTTCCCCCGCCCCCGGGGTATCCCTCGCACAGTTTTCACAGAGTTTGGTGATTCGGCCTCTCTTTGTTTTTCCTTCAGAAAAATAAAAGCAAGAAGAAGGGTAAAGATGAGAAGTGTGGGTCCGAGGTGACCACCCCAGAGAACAGCTCATCCCCGGGGATGATGGACATGCACGGTGAGCCGCCCACCCTGCTGGGCCCGTGGGACGGGGCCAGGCTCCTCAGGGTGGCACGTTACCAACAGGCTTTTTCACATTCCATACAGAAGGGGGTGGGAGGCCGGGTAGGGCCTGGGGTGGACGGGGAGGAAAGGAGGTGGCGGCAGAAGGTTCCTGAGCTGAGGACATAGTCAGACTCACCTGGACACTGCCAGAGGCACAGGGGTGGGGCTATAGACCTTCCTGGGCAATTCACTTCAAAGGCTCATAGACTTAGTTGTCTTCCTTATAATAGTTATAATAATATATAATAATTATAACCATTTATCATAGAGTGCCTTAAATTTTGCAAAGCACTTTATAAATATGTTTGTCCCCATGACAAACCTGGGTGATGGGTGTTAATTATCATCCTCACATTCCTGTTGAGGAAACTGAGGCAGACGGTGGTGAAGTGGTCTGCCCACATAGCTAGTAAGTGTCTGAGGCTGGATTTGAACTCGTGTCTTTCTTACCAAAGGTCTAGGCCTCGACCTACTGGGCTGCCTTGTTTAGAGCTGGAAAGGGCTGTACAGGTCATTGAGGCCCAGTACCTTCATTTTACAGATGAGTAAACTGAGGCCCAGAGAGTTTAAGTGGTTTCTCCAGGGTGGCCCAGCTAGTAAATTTCTCCGCTCTACCCCTCACCCCTTGCAAGAGAGACTCAGGGGGAGCCCTGCTGTACTGGGGGGAGGAGCCCTTGTATGAGCTCTGCTTGGCAAAATCTGTGTTTAATCCTCTCCTCCATTGTATGGAGAGCCAGAAAGGGCCTCCTCTGGATAAGAGAGCAGGGTGCCAGGATGCTTCTCATGGCCGTCGGAGGACGTGGGTTCCAGTCTCACCTCTGCCACCTGCTGCCTGTAAATGGCAGACTCGGGCAAGTCACTTAGGAAGAGGACGATCTTCCTGTCAGGGAAGCCTCTCTGACATCTGGCAGCCGTGTCACTTCCCTCTGGGCCTGTTTACTCACCTGTAAAGTGAAGGGGGGGGGGGACTCTGTGACCTACTTCTGTGGCTCCTTCTAGCTCAGATGTATGATCTCATGAAGTGACTGGCCCAACTCAAAACAGAGGGGAGATTTGAACCCAGAGCCAGCCCCTGGTTGGACTAGCTGGTCCTTAGGGCCCTTTCTGGCTCTTAACCCTTTGATGCTAGGTTTCTTTGAAGTCTGAACTTGGAACTTCCTGCCTACTTGATCAGACAGGCTGAGTAGCCCAGGTTATGGGCCCCACCTTGAGCCTTCTCAACCAAGGCACGTCAGATTTACAAGTAAATTGGGGGTGGGGAGGCAGGCTTACTCACTTTACAGAAGTGCCAGCAGCTGGCTTCTTTTCCCTAGTGAGCTCCCAGCTGTGCTCCTAAAGCGGGATTCCATTTCAAAGAGCTGTGTTTATAGGCGGCTTTTCAGAAGCCAGGTTCTGTTGCAGTACGGGATGGTCTTCAATGGGAAAAATCATCCCTGCCCCACACACGCCTTGTTATGAGTCTTGCCTTTTTAGAGGCATCTAGGTACCAAAGTGCATAAAGGGATGGACTTTGAGCCAGGAAGACCTGGGTACAAATTCAGGCCGAATGACCTTGGGTGAGTCATGTCACCTCCATCTGCCTCAGTTTCATCATCTGTAAAATGGAGGTAATAATAGCCCCTACCTCCTAGGGTTGTTGTGAGGAAGAAATGAGATCTTTGTAAAGTGCCCTGCAAGCCTCAAATTCACTATGTAAATGGTAGCTATTGTTATTCTGGTGGGAGGGAGGTGTTGTACTATAAGGAGACAGAGGACCTGGGTCTGAATCCCAGCTCTGCCTGGGAGATTTCAGTCAAGTCACTTTACTTGGTCTTCCCTGGGCTTTGGTTTCCTCCTCATCTTCACAATAACAAGATTGGGCTAGATGACTTCTAAGGTCCTTCCCAGATTTTAAATCTAAGATGCTGTGAGTTTCAGTGACCAGAAAGATTTCATATTCTAGAATGACAAAGAGCAGGGAACAGAGGTAGTCCCCAGCACAGTGGCCCTTTTCTTTTCTTTTTTCTTTTTTTCTCTTTCCTTTCCTTTTCTTCTCTTCTCTTCTCTTCTCTTCTCTTCTCTTCTCTTCTCTTCTCCTTTCTTTCCTTTTCTTTTCTTTTCTTTTCTTCTTTTCTTTTCTTTTCTTTTTTCTTTTCTTTTCTTTTCTTTTCTTTTCTTTTCTTTTCTTTTCTTTTCTTTTCTTTTCAGCGAAGGAATTGGGGTTAAGTGACTTGCCCAGAGTCACACAACCAGTGAGTGTTACGCGTCTAAGGCTGCATTTGAACTCAGGTCCTCCTGATTCCAGGGCCGGTGCTCTCTCCACTGCGCCACCTAGTTGCCCCACCTATTCCTTTTCTGAAGCTGCCCCTCTGCACCTCCACCTCCCCAGATGAGACAGGGACCTCCCTTGCAAAGGTCAAAACAAACGAAGGAAAGAGTCCTGGGTGAGTTTGTATATAACAGGAAGCCTTGGGGAGACTCTGTCTTCCTAACAGGGCTCCCTGGCTCTTGGAGGGCAGGTTTCACAGGGGGATTCCACCTTTGCCACGAGAGTCTTTCTCATTCTCCCCATCTTTCCCCCTGCCCAGATGACAACAGCAACCAGAGCTCCATAGCCGATGCGTCACCAATTAAGCAGGAGAACAGCAGCAACTCTAGCCCGGTGCCAGAACCAAACTCGGCGGCTCAGGTGGACGGCCCTGAAGCGAAGTCCGACGAGGTGCATGCGGAGCCGAAGGAGCAAGCTGGATCGGAAGGTAGATGCCCCGCGCCTCCCTCGTCCCTCCCCCAGGCATCCTTCCCCTCTGTTGTTGCAATTGTCTTCTTCTCAGGGGTGGATTGCTAGTCTCCTAGGACCGGGATGGCATGTGAGAGCCTTCACTGTAGGCTGGAGTTCACTGGCGGGGCGGGATGGGGTGGGGTGGGCCTGCGGGGCAGATTTCACCTGCCTTACATCTGGAAGGAGTGACATGATTTTATTTTTCCTAGTGGAACCGTAGCAGCGGTTACCGAAGTTACCAGGGAGCTCCGTGCCAAAACGTGCGATGCTTATTCTTCTGAAATGTCTGTTGTGATCAGACTTCTGCCTTTGGACTGTTGGAAGGCCTTTGGTCCTGTCCCCGGGGGCCTGCAGAGGGCTTGGGTTTTCCGCGTGCATTAGGCCGTGACCACAGAGGCTGTTCAGTTCTAATGGCTGGTGGCTGGCCTTGCTTTCTGCCTGGTCATGAATTAAACTTGCCTCTGGCAGGCATAATTCTTTGGTCATGAGATTTTGCACAGTCCAGTTGGAATTCTGAGGTTGTGGAGTGATTCCAAAGAGACTAGTGATGTCATTGCTGAAATTAGCTCTTTTTAAAAAACAAATTAAATTGCAAATGTCTCTGAGAGTATTTCATGATTTAGTTGGGGGAGGATGGGAAGGCAACGTTTTCTAAGTTGATGTGGTCCAATTTGGGACTGGCTTGAGTCGGGGCATGCGGCCAAGGTGCTGTGATGGCTTTTCAGGCTAGGTGGGTGAGGTCTTTAGCAAGGTAAGTGAGACGGTGCGCGGTAACAGAAGCGCCCCTAGTTTTCTCTCCTGTGATTCTGCAAAGACCTATAGGAGCCTCAGACAGAATAAGGATGAGCAGCAGTGAGCCCCTTCCTCTACCCCAGGGCTGTGCAAGAGGCAGCTGGAAGTCTGTGACAGGCAATGGGAAAGGGGTCCCACCAGAAAAGCCAGTTCCAGGTCCAGCAAGTAAACAAGCCTGAAGCCTGCCGGCACAAATCAGAGACCTGCCAGGGACACGTGAAACCTGTCACGCTCCGTACCTGGGGGCAGGAAGAGTGCTCAGACAAAGACCTCCAGTGAAGTCAGAAACGCAGTGAGCTCTGACCCAGGAGGCGAACCAGGAGCCAGCAGCACCCGGGCAAGCATGTCTAGGGGGGCTGGAGACTTCAGCACTCTGAGCAGAGACCCAAGAGGACCCTGAAGACGGCTGCGCTCTTAGTGCAGACACAGGCTTGGAGGCAGAAGTCAGCAGCCAGAGCCCAGGACCTCCAAACATCCCATCTGGGGCTGCAGGAGGGAGCACAAAGACTGAGTTCAGGTACTGAGGCTGGAGATGGGATTGAGCAGAAGCAATCATGAAATACTTTGAAGAACTTCTAGGGATCCAGAGGTGTCCAGTAGACAAAGCAAGAAGAAGAGGGTAAGCCTCGGAGTTTTAAAAAATGACTCCACCACAAAGAAAAACTAGATGAAGGAATAGCTGGATGAAATGAAGAGAGAGCTAAAAAGTGAATTTAGAAGTCAGGAATAAGAGCTCTGGAGCAAAGAATTGGAAGGAAAATCAATAGCTTAGAGCAAAGGGTAGAAAACTATCTAAGTAGTGGACTCGTTGAAAATTAGAATGAAGCAAATAGAATTCACTGATGCCGTGAGACAACAAGAAATATCAGAACAAAATCAAGAGAGTGATAAAGTGGGAGAAAGTGTGAAGGATCTGCTATTAAAGACATTTGACCTGAAAAACTTTGACCAGGCCAAGGAGAAATAATTGAACAACATTCAGACTCCTGGAAAACTTAATTATCCCCTCCCCCCCAAAAAAAATTCCTAGGCACCGTGTTTCAATAAGTAATAAATGAAAACTTCCCAAATCTGTTAGAAACAGAGGGCAAAGTAAAAATTGAAGGAGTGCATGGGTTACTTCCTGAAAGAAACTGTAAAATGAGTGGCCACATGTTGTCATGGAAAGATTTTTCCTCAGCTTTGAAATGGGGCTAGCCAAATGAGGCTGTGTGCTGGGCACTTTGCCAAGCTCAGAGATCTTCACAACTGTGGGGGATAGGTGCTGTTTTTCTCCCTACTTTACAGTGGAGGAAACTGAGGCATGCAGAGGTTCAGTGACTGGCCCAAGGTCATACAGAGCTAGGAAGCCTGGGTTTGAGCTCAGGTGTTTCCTGACTCTAGGCCCAGCACCGTATCACCCGCCTCACCCCGTGCCAGCTTCTGTGCTAAGCTCACAGCACAGCAGACACATGAGCCACTGCTGTTGTCATCATCACCATGGAGGCGGGGGCACCGGTGCCTGGGTGTCTGAGGGAGGCCTGCCTGGGCGCCCCTCCTAGACTTCCCCCACTCTTGTGTGACTTCGCAGGGCCTCAGTTTCCTTAACTATAAAAGAGGGACAGGAGTAGCCCTTGTGAAAATCAAGTGAGATAACATTTGTAAAGCACTTTGCACCATGCCTGGCCACCTGACAGCCTCCTGCGTCCTGAAACACCCTCCAGGAGCGCTGTCTTGTTAAGGGGATGGGGCAGGGATGAAGATTCAGGCGGCTGCTGTACTGGAGTCTAATTCCTGCCTCTTGGGGGGGGGGCGCGTTCCTGGCTGGGCTGCCCCTCGGGGTCAAGCTCCCAGTGACAGGCTCAGCAGGCTGTGCTCCCCAGCAGCCCCTTCTGCAGGCTTTCTCACCCTTCTCAGAGAGCGACAGTGACGGGTCAGGGAGCAGAGAGAGAGAAAGACAAAGTTGCCTGCACAAACCCAGGCCAGGAGCCGGGTGTGGCTTTTCTGCCCAGGAGCCTCCCTCCCTCCTGATTTCTTTTAGGTCGTGGCCTAATTTCTTTCAAGCTCTGGGCTCTTTTATTTGTCATGAGGTGTTGGAGAGACAAACCACTGGCTGGAAAATAGAGCAGGTGCCTGGGTTTGAATCTGCCTCGTGTTTCTTTCTACGTGGGTGACCTTGGGCAGTTCCCAGGAGGCCTCAGTTTCCTCATCTGGAAAATGAGGAATTTAGTGTTGAACTAGCTGGCCTGACAGAACCAGATTGAAACCTAATTGGGAAGTGCTTAATAAAAATACAATAAAACGCAGGCCTGTAGTAGGGCTTGGACCTCAGGTCTTCTGACTGCCCATATCCGCTGAGTCACACTGCCTGTCTATAAACAAGAGTTATTGTTGTCATTCACCAGGATGGGGTGTGGAAGCAGGCTGGAGCCTTTTCAGGGCGCCTGCATAGCATCCCCTCACCACTCAGCCCCATGTTGACCTTGCCTTAAGCTTGTTTACCGGTGAGTTTGGTGAATGACATAATGTCCGTGCACCCGAGTACTAAATTTAGGTTTCAGGAAAGTAGTTTGCTGTGAGTGAGTTCCGGAGTCAGGCGGATGAAGCTAAAGGGGGAGGCTGCCAATGAGCAGGCCACACCAAACCCTTCTGGACATTGGGCCCCAGGCCTTGAAGCATCACCTTGGGACCCTGAGGCCCTTTTCCAGGAGAGAGCTTTAAAGCCTGGACTGGAGCACCTGGCTTCCTGTTTCATCCACACCATTCTTTCTCTTTCTTTCGCCACCTCAGGTGAGTGCCCACTGTGGGATAAAAGTAGGGACTTGGGAGAAGCTAGATGGTGTAGTAGATAGAGTTCTGGCCTAGGAGTCAGGAGGACCTGAGTTCAAATCCAGCCTCAGACACTTGACACTTACTAGCTATGTGACCCTGGGCCAGTCACTTAACCCCAATTGCCTCACCAAAAAGCAAAAAAAAAAAAAAGTAGGGACTCGGATCTTTTTTCTTTTCAAAAAGTTTTTTAAAATCTGACTTTAAAACAACAAACGGCATTTCTGTTTACACAGCAATACACAAAAAGGGGATTTAACTGAAACTGTTCCTCTCCATTTCATACTGTCAGTCAAAAATATTCAAGTACTGGGGGCAGCTATGTGGTGCAGTGGATAGAGCAGCCTTGGAATCATAAGGACCCAAGTTCAAATCTGGCCTCAGACACTTGACATTTACTATCTGTATGACCATGGGCAAGTCACTTAACCCCATTGCCTACCCCCCCCCAAAATAAAGATTAGAAGGGAAGCAGAAAGCTGGGGGGGAAATATTTAAGTACCTACTATGTGTCAGGCTAAACTCTGGGGATATAAAGAAAGGCAAGAGACAGTCGCTGCCCTCAAGGAGCTTATAATCCAGTGGGGGAGATAGTATACAATCAGTTATGTAGAAACAAGCTACAGACAGGATAAATTGGAGATAATCCATAGAGAGAAGGCACTGAGATTAAGAGGATTTGGGAAAGGCTTCTTGTAGAAGGTGGGATTTCAGCTGGGACTTGAAGGGACATAAAGAGGAAGAGCATTCCAGGCTTGGGGCACAGCCAGTGAAAATGCCTGGAGCTAAGAAATTGAGTATCTTGTTCATGGAACAGCCAAAGTGTTGGAGAGTAAGGTGTGAGAAGAGTGGAGGGGTTAGGACGGTGCTGGGTTATGAAGGGCTGTGAATGCTAGGTGGAGGCGATAGGGAGCCACTGGTGTTTATGGAGGAGAGGAGTGACATGGTCAGACCTCAGCTGTAGTAAAGTCAATGGTGGATGGATTGGTGTAGAGAGATACTGGGAGATCAACTAAAGCATAAGGGTAAGTTTATATAATAATTCTACATATTGCTCCCAAAACTAGCTTGCTTGTTGTCTGTGCTTCCTTCTGAGGGAAGATGATTCTTTAAGAATCTTTCTATGCATTTTTGTTGGGAGTTTTTTAAATTAAATTTTCCTTCAATGAATAAAATCCATTTTTTCCTTTCTTCTGTCCCTCTCCCCCCTCATTGAAAAACAGAGATAAGTCTTTGTAACAAATATCCATAGTCGAGCAAAACGAATTGCCACGTTTGCCTTGTCTAAAAACTCACACTTCATTCTGCACCTGGGGTCGGTCACCTCTCTTTCAGGAGCGGTATAGCATGTTTCATCACCGTCCTCTGGAGTCCTTT